GGCATGCCAGAGAACCCCCCACAGCCCCCGCCAGTCGTGAGCCCCCGCCGCAGGGTCGGGTGAGGCCGAGGCGCCCTGTGCTGGCCTTGCCATGCTGCCCTCCCGAAATGCCCGAAGTGAGAAGGGACAGAAACACAAATGATGAGCGTTGTTCGCACTTCTTGAACCTCGCCGTTCTTCGGTGTCTGCTTGGGGTGTCCGGGCTGTTGGGAGCCAGCACGGCAGCTGGTCACAGTTCTGACCTGGTCACAAGCCACGCAGCTGCCCTCTGCCAACACGCTCCCACACATGCCCCACATTACCCGCCCCCCACAAGGCCGAAGGGCCTTGCTGCGCTTACCCCCGGTGCCCACCCGGCCTGCCCGGTCGCTGCGTGCACTGCGCCTAGCCCCAGCGGTTGGGGTTTCCTGTGGCAGGGCCAAAGGGTCAAGGCCAGGCAGGAGTGGGGCTTGGGATGGGTGCAGTTGCCCCGTGGAGCTGATTGCTGTAACATATTCGTGCTTCCAGAATAGTTTCCCATCAAACGGACTGAATTTTGTGGGCTTCTGTGAGTTCTTCTCCCCTAAGACATTATTTCCTGCCTCCTTCCTTCTCTGCCTGAAGTTGGATGTACTCTTTTCTTACCTGCCAATATTGGTAATTCAAATTAATGTATTTGTTATAAACAATGGAGTTAAATGGAACATGATTTTTGTACATCCTTATCTTCTCTTTAGATTCCATTTTGTTGTATACTTTCTGTTTTCTTTCAAGGAGTCTTGTACAGATGAAAGTGGTGTCCCTTTAAAAACATAGAGCAAAATTGGCATTAATGATCACACCTGTAGGGAAGAAAGGTGAGAGCAAACCAGGAGGCAGAACTGATAAAAGGCTGCTAACAGCACTTGCCTGTCCTGGAAAGGGGGGGGTGTTGGCTTCCTAGGCTGAGAGTGGAGATGAGAAGTGAAGGTGAAAATGGAGTCTCCACAGTGTGAGCAGAGGGTCACGAAGGTCTCTCTAGCTGAGATACTAAGGTGTTTTGAACATCCTATAAGCGAGGAGCAAGCCTGGGCTATATGCTTTCAGTGTTGCCATAAAATGGAGCAGCTGGCTCAGGGGCTGTGTCCACCGCTCTATTCTGTATTCATAAAAGGTCCTGGAAGCATCTTTATCCATGCTGATGGTACTGCTTCCTTCAAGGCGTACCACAAGTCCGGTAAGAGCGTAGGTAGCTGTGGATGCTAAGGGCTATTCCTATAACAGGCTGTAACATGGGGACAAAATGGGGAGGCTTTTTTTCCCTGCTTTTATTTTTTCCCTCTCTTTTCTCTGTATGTTCTCATGAAGCTGTTCTGCTGCCTATACTTCATTTCAAAGGGCTGTAGATGAGTGGCAATAGAGATGTACGGCATACTAATTTTTCTCATAGTGCTGTAGCAAGTAGTTTGGTTCTAGGGAATAGCTAGAATGGAAGTTTGTTACCACTTATGTTATTTGAAATAAATAGTCTGAGGCTTTATTATATGTTCCAATGTATGGTTTCTTTGTTATAGTAACTCTCATGACAGACCTATGATTGACAGTTTCCCTATTTTGTTGCTATGTGTAGCCAGCCGGGGCAACGAGCTGCTTTTATGCACTGCTTGGTTGCACTGCTGCAGAGGTCAGTGCTAGGCAAACTCTTCAGGGACAAGAGCAGTTAATAAAGAATGACAACAAAGATCCAGTGCCTTCCTTGTAGTTAGGTATCTATGAGCAAACAGCAAAACTACTCAGCACCAGTTAGTCTGGGGCTAATGCTCCCAATAAGCAGAGAATCCTGTGTTGCTTTCCAGGAGTCCCCAAATACAGGCCTATTTTCCCCAGGTGGGACCGACCTTAACCAGAGGGTTTTCTTTCCTTATTACCAAGAATTCTTCTGATTTCTCCCTCTATACAGGGATTCTAAAAGCTGTTTATCAATCTCTATGCAGTTACCTTTTTCTCCCTCCCCTCTTTTTTCCCTTTCAGATGTTGGCAGCATTCAGCAGTCAGAGGACAAGGTAAGCCTGTGTCTTCACCTTCATTTTGTGTGCATATACAATTCTGCTGTAGTAGAAGGCCAGCTCAGGAGATGCAGACGTCTTTGGAAACTATCAAAGTGCTTATATTTGCTGTGGCCTGTGAGAGTGACTCTGTCCCCTGCAATCTGGAAAATGAAACAAAATGCTAGGACTGAACTCAAGTAAGACAATGGGACTGGGAAACAATGTGCACAGATGCTGCTTACTGTGGAATAGCCCACAGTCATTGTCTCTTAATAACAGATGACTTAGAGGTGCTAGATAAGGCCATTTAAAAATCTTAAAACTGTTTATTTAGGGACTATCTCGGGCTACCTGATGAGCATCTAGCTTCCTTTTGCATCCTTCTCATCCTGAGAGGTGTGCTAAGCCCTGAGGGGCAGTGGAGGGTATGTGCATGGCTGGGAGGTGAGAGCTGTGAAGTTCTCCACAATGCGTTGTGCTGCACTACTTCCTTGGTCTCTGTCTGCAGCTGCTGGAGTACTTGGGAGTCGTGATCTATGAAGCCCTGGACTGGGGAATCGACAGCCAAGTGGAGCGAGAACTGAGTGATCCTTTGGAGAAGCTGCTGTGCCACATGTTGAAACTGGATGATGAGGCAATGAAACCAGCAGTCACCCTGCAGGATGTTATCAAGGTTTCCTTCTTCCCACTTAGTAAATTTAGCAGCTTTAGAGGAGCTGATGCAACAATGCTGTTAACCAAGGGGCAAGACCATTTCTGGGAAAAAGCTGGGTAGCTTGTTGGAGGACACAGAGGGAGCATGGGGCTCTCCCATCAGAGGGAAAAGGCAAAACCATCTTAGGTGCATGCAAGTGCCTATGGAAAAGAATTAAGAGGGAAGACTGAACATGGCTCTTGCACAGCTGTGTCTACCAAGTCCTGTACATACTGTCCACATCCGATACCTAGAAGACTATGGCTATTGAAAAATGTCACTTGTCCATAGTATGCAGTTTCTGCAAGAGCTGGGCTTTGATTGTGTCAGCTCAAACAAATATTTTCCTCTCAACCATAATTTAAAGGTATGAGAAATTTCTCATCCCTCAGTCTAATCAGGGTAGGGAAAAAGAACAAGACAAGTGACCACCTGCTGTGGTTTTTTGTGCTTTGTCTGCACTGGAGGATTCCCCTTCCAGGTACTTATTTCAAAGCACAGCTTAAGGAGAACAAGCTAGATAAATTACACAGCTACTTACGTTACTGTTCTTATAAGACTGGACATCTTGCTTCTTTGTTCCTCTGCATCTGCAATAGGAGAAAAAAAAAAAAGATAAAAAGAGACTATGAGGAAGATGTTTTTTAACTGTGGATTGAGGAAAAGGAATCTTGCTTTATTCTATCCTACCAGATTTTTTTCATTTCAAGATCTTTTTTAAATAGCTGCACTTCTTTCAGGCCTGTGAGGAGCATTTGTCCAGGCCTTCTGAGGCTACCAGCCATTACGAAATGACCTGTAGAAGTCTGTTTACTGAATATATGGAACTTCAGAAGCTTGTGGCCATCATCCAGACCTCCAAAGAGGTACATCTGGGATCGCCCCTTAGCTGCTATTCCTTCTACCTTCACACATTCACCTAGTTCTAAAGTAACCTTCCCATTGCACTAGAAATGGAGTACCTAGCTGAAGATCTGCTTTCATGATGTGAAAGGCTACTGTTCCTGCACCATATTAGTTATTTATTGTAGCTTTTGAAAGCGTGGGTGTTTGGGGCTTCTAGGCTTTTCAGATTAACATTAGTAATTTATACTGGATAGATAGGAAATCACTGAACATTGCAAGGTAATGACCTCATGTGCTTGCTTCTCAGAGTCTGAGAAAAATGGATGTGGAAGATTTGGTGGGAAATCCCCTTCAGAAGAAGGAAAAACGCTCGGTAAGAGATTTAATTCCTTCATTATGGCAGGTTTATTTTTTTTTTGTCTACCTTGGCTCTCTGAGGCTTTCTGTTGACTCTTCTGTGAGAAGTAGAGCTTGAACACAAATGAAACTTCTTAGGTTGTTCCAGAGCTCATGTAGTTAAAGACTTGTCTGCAAAACAAGTGGAGGAGTGAACCTGAAGTTAAACTATTTCATGTGTTAACCTCATGTGGACATTTATTCTACACAAAGATTGTCTTTGTGGTTCAACTTAAACCACTTCTAAAAACAAAGCTGGAGGCAGTCTTTGGAGTAAGTGTCCACAAGTAGTTACTCAGGCTGTTTCTTCCTGCAAATGAGCCCCAAACACCAGCTCTTGGCAGGAGCTGACACCTGCCAAAAGTAATCTGCTCCTTTCTTGTATGTGGACTGAAAACTCCCAGAAAACTGTTCTGTTGGTGGTAGTACTGGGGGGGACTAGTTCACTCTTATTATGCAGAGTCTGTGCTGGTTCAGGGCTGGAGGGGACTGAAGGCCAGTAGCTCTGTCCATCTTTGTGGCTGTGCAGCTCCGGCAGCTCAAACAAAGGGCTGAAGGAGGGTGAGGTTGGAGATGTAGCTCCTACCTTCTGCTCACTGCCTTTCTTGTCTTTCCATTCTGTCCTTCCATAGATCTTGGACTGTGTTTGGGGCAGAGAAAGCAACTTATTTTGTTCTTTTCAAGGCCCTACACTGTCAGGGCTCAATCAGAAAACAAATAGCTCTTCAGGCTGGAGCTCTGCCCAGCATAAACAAATGCACTGTAGTCTGGAGTCTGCGGAGACAAACGGCAAGCCCCGAGAGACTTGTGGACTCGCTCCCTTTGTCTAAATAGCACTTGCTTTGAAGCGTGCTCAAACTATTCGTATGAAAATGTTTGTGAAATGTGTGTTTGGGCATATTCTCAATTTTGTGATCTATTAAAATAAACTGGCAAGCTATCTCAAACCACAAACTCATCAACTGCTATAGCTCTTTTCTGCAGGGAATACATGAATAAATACATGGGCTTTGCTGTGTGGCCTGAAGGCCAGTGTATTTGGCCTCTGCTCCTTCAGGAGACATGAATTCCAAGAGCAGGATGTCTGTTGCAAGTCCTCTGCCTCTAGTTTCCAAGTCCCTAAGCGCCAGTTGATTGCATTGCTCTGACAAACTTTTTAGTTTAAAATAACCAGGATTCCAACTTCACTGGATCCCACAGATTAGAGCTGATGCCTTGAGTGGTGCCAAGCAGCTAATACCCTCTATGGTCTGCACTTTTTCATGTTGACTGCCACAAAACAGGCCTTCTGAAGCAGACCGCAGCCTGGTAGCATGCAGGGTTTCAGCAGAGCTTATCCGTACATGTCACAAGACAATCTTCACCTTGAAATCTAAGCAGTGAGACCTCTTAGGAACACAGCTGTCTTACCACTCATCTGCTGAACTGAATTCAATGTGTTTGGAGTATTGTGGCATTTTGTGTTGTATTGCACAGGTGTGCAAAGTTTATGTGGAGATTGACAATATGTGGGATGGCCCAAGTAGAGTAATTGCAGTGATCCAGGTCAGTAAGGAAAGAAAAGTATGAGTGATAATGATGTCACTACATCTGAAAAATGTTTTGGGTATACAAGTTGCTCTGAAATGGCCAGCTGAAGGCAATTCTTGTCCCAAAACTAATGGGGCAATATTACAGTACAGAAGTCTCTCTTCAAGTCATATCTTTCAGTGAAGTTCTGTCACCATGTGAAACACAACTCTAGAAAGTACAAATGGCTCAGGATATTATTTCAAAGGTCTCTAATGCTGATCAATATTGCCCAGAGACGTTTGTGTGTTCTCTTACACAATAATAAATATAGCCTAGGACATATGGCTAGTATATGGTCACTCTTGACAGTTCTAGTTCTCTGGAGTCGAGGTATGACTGTACCAAAGCCAGGCTAAAACAATCCAACAAAAAAATCTGTCTTCCTGAAGGCAGCCATCAGTCATAGCTTGAATAAGACTCTTCTGATATTATACCAAGATATCTGAAGGGATAAGTTGAGAGGAGATGCTTCATACTGTAAGTGGAAAAGGGAGAGGAGTTTGAGTCAGAAACTTTGTTCTGAGGCAGTTTTCTAAAATGTTTTGCTTCCCTTTCACTGTTTATAATACAATCACTTGTTCTTACTCAATTTGCCTTTGGGATCCAGATAAGCTGTTGACTTAGCACTTCCATTACAATGTTGTCTAAACATGCTATTGAGTTGATTATTTTTTTTCCTGTCTTTAACTTTTGTTGGGTTATACTGCGTGCCTGAGCATCCTCCAATATTAATACAGGAACAGGATGAGCAAATGTCAGAGTTATCAGCTTGCATCTCCAGGCTGAAACTGACAACCTATGCTGCTGTGAAGGTTAAAGTATGAGATCCCTTTCCGCTTGTCTTCCTCTTTTGTCTGTGGTCCCTTCAACTCTCGGTTTCTGAAAGGTCAGAGGATTTTAGTGGTAAGATTTGGGATTTCATTCCTAATGTTTCCTAGGATCCAATAATATGAAAAAACTCTGGCACCTGGAGCACTTGCAGGAAGTAGGTATTTGAGAAAATGGGTCTAGCTGCCTGGAAGCAGAAGCTGTGTTTTGCTGAAGTACATTCATAAAGTTAATGACAAGATTTGGGAATGAGCCTGGTGAACCAGCTCCCAGATGCCTCGCTGTAAATTAAGTTCTGCGAAGAGAAGCAATTCTCTGCTCTGGTACTGTGTCCTGATCTGGAAGTGAGTTGAAGGGGGTGTCAAGGACACGCTTCTGTGTTTCTGAATTACTTCAGTTTCCAAGTGTGCCCTGTTACACGGAGGGAGGGAATGCTGCTCTGTGAATTCTAGCCAGCTGTTGACTTGGCCCTTACTGGTTTCTTTCTCCAAGGCATCCCTGTGGCCCAGTGTCATCCATGAACTGCAGAATGGCGTGAGGCTACGCAAGACCACTGAGCAACCACAGTGTCACGCGCCTCCAAAGAAACGTATCTGCTCTCCCTATGAATTACTTTTGGATGACATTCAGCACAAGAGGTACACCCTTCGGAAGGTGAGTGACTAGGGTTAACTTTGAAACCACTTGCTGTATCTCATTTCTAAGCAGTATTTGTCGAGACCTCGTCTCCAAAAGCCTGCCTTTCTCAAAGGTACTTCCAAGTCCAGAAGTGTCTGGGTCTCCCTCTCAGCTGCAGGTTAATGTTAGATTACCCTGTTTGTCCACCGAAGTGCTTAATTTCCAGTAACTTTTTAAGTCAGAGGTAGCCACGCTTTCATGAAGCTGGGTGGTAAACTTTTTCTCCCTCCAGGGGTCATCCACTCCCTTCCCTGGAGCAATTTCACTGCCTTGCACACAACAGTTTCATGAATCAGACGCTTGTCTGCGTGTGCTTTCCACCTTGGACGCTTGTGTCCTCCCAGGCTGCTTGAGCTGAGCTGTGCCTGGCATCTCACTAGTTTCTTTGCTTTCCTGGATATTATGGGATATGTGCAAGTGCAAAAGCACTTTGGAGCGAGTCTTTTGCTCAGCCTCAGGCAGAGCCTCAGCAGTGTACATGAGCTACTGCAGGTGTTTAGTCAGGGTAAAAAACACTGAGCCCCTTCCAGAGGCAGCTGCTGTGCTCACTCAAGTGGTAGGGACTTCCAACAGTGTGGATGGTTGGTGAAGATGCCCAGATACAAAAATGTCTAGGATGTCTCTAAAGGCTTGTGATGCTGTTCGCTTGCTGCAGCTTGAGCTGGGAATGATGAGCAGATCTAAAACATTGGCATAAGGCTTTGTGGCATTGGCGTGCTTTGCAAAGAGATGTCTTGGCAGAAGATGAGACACAACTCCACTTGTAATAAAGCGTGATAGTTTAAAAAGTGAAAACTTTGCATACCATGCTAGACATCAGCTTTTTTTCTCTTTGTTGGTGCTGCTAGAGTGCAGGGGGTTTAAAAGCCTCAGCTAAGCCATGCACCTCTATAAAACCCCAGCTCTTGCTAGTCTTGACTGTGGCTTCAGCCTTCAGATAAGGCTATGACATTTCTCTGGAGATGATGTCTTAATTGATGTATAAATGAATAGTAGTGGAAAGAAGACAATATGTCATAACTACCTGTGTTCCTAGCAAGGTACTGTGTATCAATGCACTGTGCAGTACAGAACCATAACTCAAGGTGGCAGGATGAACTGGGTCTTGATTTTATTTTTTTCTTCCTTTTTAAAAATTTTTTTCTGTTGTTGATGAGAACAACAAAGGTGTTTGAAGAGCAGTAGTCAGAAATGCTAGAAGAAAGCACAGAGTGCTACTCAGGTCTTTGTGAGGGCTCTTAAACGAGGATCTCCCCATGAGCAAAAGTATTTTAAAGCTTCTCTAGCAAACAGCGGTCTAATTTGCAAATGCATGAAAGCACAGCTAGTGTGGGAAGCTGTAGTGTTGCTCTACCTGCACTCCTACGCGTTCTGAAGTTGTACACACAGGGACAGTAAATGGCACAGCCTCAAAGTAAGAATAAGTGAATGAGGCACCTAAAGACATGCATGTGCAACTTTACTTTTTTGTCAGTTCTCCCCTATGCAGCAAGCACAGGGCTCGATGAGGAAGACAGTCTGTGTCACATGAATACCGGCCCTGCAATTCTATCTTGCTGTTGTTCGTAGTTTGTGTAGGGCTGTAAGCCAGTCTCTGGGACTCTAGCTTATGGGTACAGCTGCCTGGTGCTACAGTTCTTTAGTTACAGCCTTGTTAACCCATTCAATCACTTTCGTCCCTGGAGCTGAGTTCTCACTGATGAATGTGGTGTGACCATGGCACTTATCAGAATCACTTCTGGCATTAAAATCTGAGTACGATGTTTTCCAGTGGCTTAGAGCAGCTCATGAGCTGCTGTGGTGAGAAGGCTGTATGCTTCTTGTGCAAGCCTCAAAGGGCTGTGCAGCATTTCTGATTGCCTCTAGTTTGCCACAGGCAAATCTGTCTCTACCAAAAACTCACGCAAGTAAACTACATCATTCTACACTTCCCAACTCAGGTTTGCGGTGATTTCCCCACCTCTCCAATTCCTGACTTAGGTCATTCACTGTGCCACTGAATGGGAGGGTGTACCAGGAGTAGAGGAAGAACTATTGCTTAAGCATCATTTCTGCTCTTTCAGGTGATCATCGAGCAAACACAAAGGACCCCCAAAGTTGAGGTAGCTGCTCCCAAGCCTCTTCTAAAGCCTGTAGGTGACCTGGTTCTGCATCTAATGACAGCAAAACAGGATGATTCTGGAGCTGACAGGACAGTTTCTAGGAATATAGAGCTAATGTCTTAGCTTCTGGTTTGGATTTGGGAGGGGGATATATTAACCATACTTAACTTTTGGGTAGATCCTTCTGTCAAAACGTGGGGATAGGAAAATGGAAGGTGACATCTTCATAGGAGAAAGATGATCCTCTTACTCCCTACTTCCTCCACTTGGAGCATTTTGTGGTCCTGAAAGTACTCCTGGAGTTCTCAGTTTCAAATTTGAGAGTTGCGAAAGTATTCTACTATGCATGATCTAAAGGTTCTCTCATGTGTGTCTCGTTGCTGGGTGCAGTGCCCTCTTGAGTGAGAGGCACTTGTAAAGCAGTGCCATTGCTGAAGGAGTAGTTTTGTCACCGCTGGTCTCCTTGCTCTGTCCACTGGCTCTTTCTGGTGCTATGCTTTGCCCACAGGTGCTAGAGAGGAAGCTGAAAGAGCATGTGCCATGGGAGTCCAGCCCACATGAACAGCTCATGGCACAAATAAAGCAACCGCAGAAGCTTCGGTCAGCAGCAGCAAGGGAAAATGGGAGCAGGCCCAAAGGTACCTGTTACAAAGTGACCTATCAAGCATGCAAGTGAAGTCAGCGTTGACTAAAAATAATAGATGGCCTTTGAAATGAAAGCCCACTTATCTTTTCCATAGAATGTATAATGCAAGGGAGGTGGCAACACAAATTTTGTGTGATAGAGGTGGTATGGCATAAAAATAATTCTTTCTAGAAAATCCTTTTGTGGCTTATTAAGACTCAAAAGATGTTTCAACTTACCCTTTTTTTGTGGATGTTCAAATTTGTCTGTCCACTAAGTGGGAGAACAGGATTTGACCATCACCTAAAACTATGTAACTACCAGGACAAAGTCTAGCCAAATCTCAGTTTCTGTTGTGTGGATATCAAGTTTGTCATTTTCTTGTTGCAGCACAATGTCTTATCTTGTCTGTGCATGGGGGGTTTTTTGTTCCCCCTCTCTCCTGCAGAAATGCTCGTGACACCAAATATTGCCTTGAAATCTCCAAGTGATAGTTTCTTAACTCTGCAAGATGCCAGTACTGAGTTTAAAATTGTCAACCCTGCAACACAGCAGCTGCAATCAGGAGTTCAGGTATGGCTTTAAATGAAAGGACACTGGAGAGGCACAAGTATTACAGGCATTAGATCTGGACACAGATGTATCCTGGAACATCAGGTTCAAATCCTAGTGTGGGCAATCTTGTCTCTCAAACATGAACGAATGTGGTACTATTAGGTTCACTGAAGTCCTTTCCTGTGCATAAGTCCATACCATATTTAAACACTGCCTTTTGTGGCATGACTGCAGCCTGTAGAAACAAGGTCTGCTCTTGTCTCTTAAAACTAGATCTTGCAGAAGTTTTAATATGCATAGGAGTTTTGCCAGTATGGGCCAAAACTATTCCTGCTCTTACCTCACAGTGAGGCATTTGATGCTATATGTATTGATGTGTTTGCATTTCATGTGGTATGTGAGCTTGCGGAAGGAAAACTGAATGATTTATTTTGAGGAAGCAACCTTACAAGTGAATTCCCATTCTTCTGCCTGTGGAGCAATTTTGGGAGCACCGTTCTTCAATAAACCATGCTATGTAGTCTTTCGGTTCTTTAAGCCCTGGCTTGATCATGAGAAGCTTGACTGCTTGGTTCTGGGATTCAGTCTGAGCATATTCAGACATTCTGTGGAACAGAACTTAAGCCCTAACACATCATGTCTAGCACAGATGCGCTGGCATACAAACAGGAATCTGTTTTCTGTAAACATTTCTGTCTGAAATGCAGTTGCTTAACTGAGGAAAACGGATATGAATTAATGAAAGCAGAAAATCTTAGCTATATTTGCACAAGTCTGTGCTACTTGTAGGAATGTTCAGCATTTGAGAACCCTGTGGTTGATGTGTTATTGCTAAACTAGAAGGGCCTTCATATGGAGACTAATAAGATGAATTTTATTTTCTGCATTTCTAGAGAAGCTAGAAACAATGCTATTCAGATACAGCACTACGTTTGAGTTGGGTTAGCGGGGCACAGTCTCTTGAACTGTTTTCCAGTGTTGCTGCATGTGAACTGGAGCAAAAAAAATGGTTCCAATATACTCTGATAGCTGTATAGGGAGGATTTTGTGAAGTTGGTTCCTGAACAGATGAAACTTTGGGACTAGTATCTGCATTGAACTTGAGTGAGAGAGAACAGATGAATTTGAAATTTCACTAGCTTGGATGGAGCTTCCTGGTTGTGAGGGGAATTAACTTGGTATTACATTTTGGAATATAAAGTTACTAAATATACCACATTGATTTCTCTCTCTGCTCCACTTTTCGCTGAGCTTTGAACATTTCTGGTCAGTCCTGGGTATCCTGGGTTTTGTTTAGCAGCAGCACTTCTGAGGAAGTGGGCTTGGTGTCTCTTGTATGCAGCTTAAGAATATCCTGTCCTCTGGTCTACAGGAAACCACTCCCAAGCTGCCTTCCAGCACCTGGCTTGCCTCAACCAGGTCATCAGTAGCATCCTGCAACAGCACAGGTCAGTGTACTTCTAGCTGTGCATCTAAACCAGGTGACAAAATACAGTTGGTGGCCTGCTGGGTTCCCAAAGGCTTAGGTTGGGTTCACTGTACACTTTCTCTTTGGCCACCTGAAGACACTGTACAGGAGAAGCTCCAACACTGTGTAATGAGTCTGGGGACATGCCCTTAGAAAACCATTCCTCTGCAGTTGACTGAAGCTTGTATAGCTCCTGCAGCTTCAAAACATTGATGGCATGACCCCAAAGGCCTAACTGGAATTCACAGTAAAAGCTAAATGAGTGTTTTCAATGTTGAAGTAGAAAGTGCTACTGGAGAGAGTCCAGCGGAGGGCTACGAGGATGGTGAGGGGACTGGAGCATCTCTCCTACGAGGAGAGGCTGAGGGAGCTGGGCTTGTTCAGCCTG